AACTAGATTACAACATTAGACAGCAGTGCAATAAAACAGTATAATAAATCCAATAAACAATACCATCTTTAAAAACTACCTTTAACAATTTGGCCTCACAACAACACTGTGGGGTAGATCTGGGTGAGAGGCAGTGATTTCCATAATGACAGCTTTAGGGCTTAGAGAAGATTTGTGTTGTAGCTTGTGTTTACAAGAATAGCTCTGGTCATGGTTGCAATATATGCAAAGTGTGAAAAGGGGATGCTCACTTCCAAGCACTCAAGGAAATGTTCTAAGGAGCTGCAATTGGCTATTGGTCCTTGGCACATGTCCTCTGTCTGTTCAGAAGCACACATCTCTCTTTCACCCATGATTGTTTACTGCTACAAACACCACCATAATCAGTGTTTGTTGCTCTGAACTGCTCCGTGGAAGGGCAACATAAAGGGTAAGAGATAGATATCAAAAGCCAGTGCTGTAGGCACTATACCACATTGGATCTGAATGCAGTCCAGGCACACCAGAATGGAATAGTAATTTAGACCTTCCCTTTGCCCTTATAGCATTTTTAGTTTCAAAAAAGTTTTCCCCGTTCTCATACAGCTAAATAATACATTTACAGAAATAAGGTATAAAAATGCTTGAGGCTGAACAAACCTGCTAAGCCAGAAATGAAATCCAACCTGCCCTTCCCCCCACTAGAATGCAATTTGGTTCTGAGGGAGCTCTGAACCAGATATGAACCACATACTGTGATGGTGAGTGGGGTTTAATGAGGGTGTTCTTCTCTCAAGTGCTGGGCTTGGAGACTCACATTTCCCAAGAAGCAGAGCAAACAAACAAAACAACCATGCTATCTGCCCAAATGGTCCTCCGTTCCACAGGCTTTGTGTGATGCCTGAGATGGGGAGATCATTCCCAGGACTCCAAAAAGCTCTCCAGAACTTTTTTCAAAGTGACATTGTACAAAAAATTATACTACTATGGTTAAAAAATAGTTGAAGGCATTAGGGGTGTGTAAATAACCTGTTTCTATATTTCCAGGATTGTTGCCCCTTCCTATACTGACATTTCAAAATTGGGACACTTATTTGTCTGCATGTGTGACTTATCACTGCACATAGCAGGACTGATTTAATTGTGAATCATGTTGTCTAGAGAATGGATGTGATTTCAGGAGACCTCCAGCCACCGCCTGGAGATTGCCAGCCCTAATCTCTATGGCTTTCTCATATAAACATACAAATATATTTGTGTGTGTGTGTGTGTGTGTGTGTGTGTGTGTGTGTGTGAGAGAGAGAGAGAGAGAGAGAGAGAGAGAGAGAGATTGTTTGGTGAGAGAGACAGGTTGTTTGGTTGTTGGAGTGGCCATTAATATTATATCTTTTGCCCTTACTATGCTATTTTTCAGCCTAGTATTCTGAATTTACCTTTTTAACAGGTAACAGATTATATGTTTGGCCTCTTTTGTACTTCCTCTGAGTATGAAGTAGTGTGTGTGTGGGGGGGTTCTTCGTATATAAGGTTGTACTGATTTCCACTAATTCTCCCCTCAGTACTTAAGAAAGCCCCCCCAAAAAGGTGCCAGTACTCTGTACCAGTGAGTACTGTCTTAAAACCCTGCCACATCACTGTCACATACAAAATTGTAGGTTAGGCACCCATTGCCCCAACTGATGAGATCTCTTGATTTGTAATTAACTTCTCTTTTTTCAGTTTTGTGAAATATGACAGTGTTTTATGTTTAGCTAATATGCTAATTTAAAATCAGTAGTGAATTTGTTCCTTATACCGTTAAAACAACACAGAATCTTGTTGCAACTGGAAGGTGAAACCCACAAAGAATCTGTTACCTTTGAGGTGCCACGAGATTATTTATCATTTTGCTTCCACAGACAAATTTGTGGAATTTGTCAGATGTAGCTGAGAAGTTCTGCCTTTGTATTCTTCCAATGAAAAGTACTGGGTAACTCAAGAGGCAGGTTAATTAATACCAGCAGAAAGCTGGGTTCTATAAAAAGTCATCGCTTTATATCTCTGCCTGTGTAGACTTGGGAACCACTGACAATTTGTACCACACTTGCAGATATGGCAAGCATCTGCAGAATGTTAACTGTCAGATCTTCTTTTTAAAGCCTACTGCTCAAACTCAAGGCATATTTTCCCTTTCAGACATAAAAAAAGGATTGTCCTGAAAATATTACTCAAGGAAATATAACTCCCCCCCCCCGAGGTTTTAAATAAAGAAGTGGGGAGGGGTTGAGGGAAAAAGAGCTGCTCATGATTCGATCAGGAGTACAGGATAATTATTAACGTAATCCCCCCACACACACACAGTCTGAAGTGGTTTAGTCCATTCTGTCACCTCAGCAGTCTGTATCCTCATTACCACCTCATTCCACTGCATGCCTAGACTGGGCCTCAGATTGTCTGCAGAGGCCTTGCATTGTGCACCCCCACATTCAAAATATAGACACCAGCTGAGGACCTACTGGCAGTATGAAGCGCGAGGGAGGCGGGGTAAAAAGACCTGGACCAAGTTGTGCTGGGGATTCCTGGTTGCACTGCACCTACCAATGTGGGAGCATACCGGGGAGGAGGTGCAAGGGAGCGTTCACACTGTTGGCTCGCCCCTGGGGGAGGCGCGGCTGTAAGTGGCTTTTTTTCACTCCGGCAACATGCACCTATGCACCTATGCGCCTATTTCTCGAGCAACCTGCTCAAACATCTCCCTGTTCCTGTGGGTCTGACGCAAGGCCTCCTGCACTGGCCGCTCACCCCACACTGCCAGGAGGTCCAAGGTCTCTGCCATTTTCCAGGATGCTCCTCGCACGCCGGCCATTTTGCCGGTCTGTCTCCCAGGAGGCTGCCTGCCAGGAGCTTTAACTCTGCGAGTCGGAAGCGTCCCCGTGGATGGTTGTGCGCTCCAGCGCATATTGTGCATGGGCGCTTATGCACATCCCTGCTGCTGGATCAGCCGGTTCATATTATCAATGCGGCTTGTCCCGGCTTTTAGCATGCACACTTCCGGGAAGCAGGATCAACGCGCTCTCCAGGGTTTGCTACGGCTTTCACCTGGTACTTTTTAAACTCAGTAGGGAACCGTCATAGGACGGGTTGAATATGGCTGGGGAACGCCTGACAGCTGTGGCTGTGTGAACCGTCCCCTTTAATCCATTTGTGAAACGTGCCTATATCGGGCCAAACTGCCAGTCTGAATTCAGCCACCTATAGAGACAGGTTCCTTTGTGCAGTGGTGCTTCATTATTGGACCCTCACCCCTCTCCTGGCCTATCTAATTTTAAGCAGTAAATGTTAGGCATTTATCTAATTTTTAAGCATTTCTGTTGGATTGTTTTGTGGGATTCCTGTGTGTTCTCCTCTCATGCGTCTTTATTTTTATGTTGCTTGTTTTCACGGGCGACAACAGATTTTATTGACTCATGTGATGTGTTTAATTTTTATATTGCTAGTTGTAGTTTAATTATCGTTTTATTTCCATAGTTTTAATGATGTGTTTGTATGAAATCCATCTCAGAAGCCTCTGGTTGAGAGTTTTGTGCAGTGTGTAAATCTTTCAGACAAATAACACCCTTGCTCCTACTAAAGCTATAGGGCTTATAAACAGGGTGTGATGAGAGAAGGAGGTGTACAAGTAATTCTGCTATAATTTGCCCATAGGAGTTGTCGTGGGAATCATGTACCTCAGCTTAAATATAAGTAGCATGGCTCAGAATAACCTGTTGGCTGCCTACTGGATTGTATATGATAGACAGTAATGTGAAAATGATGAAGTTTGGCTTCATAATTCAATAGCAGGAAAAGACCAAAAAAACTCCACAAAAAACCCAAAGCACCATTAATGGGAAGTGGAGCGAGCTGTGAACCATCAATATCTTGGGAAATCCAGGTTTGAATCCCCATTCTGTCATAGAAGCTAGCTGGGTAACCTTGGACCATTCAGTCACTCTCAGCCTAATCTACCTTGCAGGGTTGTTGTAAAAATAAAAGGGAGGAGAGGAGAATGATGTAAGCGGCTTTGGGTCCCCATTGAAGAGAAAGGTGGGATATAAATAAAGTAAATAATAAATTATTTTTGCTACCTTGTCACCTTTAGAACTGATTGGGGCTAATATTTAAAATCTGGTAATATTTAAGACTTTAATATAACTTTTTGAATTGCAAACACTTTTAAATTCTGCCATTATACAACATGTCAGGGTGGGGACCACAGGAGCCCCCTGTCTTGGCCTGGGGAATGGTCAGAGGAGCCCCAAAGGTGGCCCGACAACCAGCAGGCAATCCCCTCCGAGGCTTCAGGCATCTTGCCTAACTGGCCCTGGAGAGGGGGTCCAACCCGAAAAGGAGGGAATCAGGGTCACCAAGGAAGTTGGGCTCGCTGCCAGGGAGGTGACAGAGAGCAAGAAGGTTGGTCTCAGTTCACAGTTGGGTCAAACCATCCCTCTTTCCCCTTTTTCCTGGGAGGTTGTTAAGATCGGGTGGGAGCACCTGGTCGGAGGAGCAGGGTGAATAAAGGTAGAGCGCTGGGAAACCAGGGAGGGTTGCGGACACCTGGGCAGGAAGCGCTGTGGGGGAGACGCGGGTGGCTGCCCAATCCACCCAAACGCTGACCAGGGGACGCTGCCAGGGGAGAGAAAATTGATATCTACCCCAACAAGATCTGAGGTGACCATGCTGACAACATTTTCTTCTGTGCTCCCCTATTGCTCCCACCCGACTGCTAACACGAACCCCACAAAGTCTGAGACAACAGGACTCGGAAGAGTTGTATTTCATGCTTCAGTAAGTGCTTTAGGTGGATTTTAGGGTATCTATTTAGGGTAAGCAAACCATATCTATTGTGATTTTTGGTTTTCTTCTGCCTTCTTGGACCAGTAAAATACAACTTATTTTACTGAGAGGGCATGGAACTCCATGTTTATTGTTTTAATTGGCTTGAAAGGAGTTTGGATTGGAGCTCATCATTTTCACACCTAATACTGTTGTTTTGTTTGCAGGTTCTATGTATGATGGTCTGTCTGATGGTTATAGCTATGGAACAGCCCGTGGTAGCTACTATGCAAAAGCCCACACAGGAAACAACTGGGGCCATGGGGTAAGATTTTATATGTGAACCATGACATCCTATTGGAAAGGAAAAGCAGAACAGAGATTTGGTTAGACTACAACACAGAAAACCAAAAAAATTCTGTGGGAAATTTTGTACAATAATTTATCACAGATCTGTTCAGAAATCCTTAAAGTCCTGACCCTGGGTAAAAAAGTGGGTAAAACATCCATGTATATAGGAAACCTTACAAGACTGAACATAGCCCTGAGTCTTCCCTTCTCTCCTTGTGCATGCACACAGGAAACTCACCAAGACAGTCCAGGGAGGTGGGGGAAGCAGACCTGATTGAGCTGAAGGGGAGGGCCAGATGGGATTATTGGAAGGGTCCATGACCATCTATATGCCCAAAGAGGGGAAGAAACGAGAATCTGTTGAATAGTAGTGGGTTCTTGGTGTAGTGGTTAAGAGCGGTAAGGGTGGGTTCTTCGTGCAGTGGTTAAGAATCAGCTTGGTGTATTGATTAAGAGTGGCAGACCCTAATCTGGAGAACCTGGTTTGATTCCCCACTCCTTCACATGAAGCCAGCTGGGAGACCTTGGTTCAGTCAGAGTCAGAACCCTCTCAGCCCCACCTACCTCACAGGGTTTCTGTTGTGGGGAAAGGAAGGGAAGGTGATTGTAAGACACTCCAAGAGTCCTTCAGGCATGGATCACATCACACCAAGCCCTCTCATGATACTGAGTTGCATTGATTTCCTTGCAGTGGACTCCTTCAGGTAATGAAGAGCAGGGTATAAAACCAACTCTTCTTCTGTGTGTGAGGAAGAGTCACAACATGCATTATTTGTGCTTTTGAGTTTAGGAAAATTGTTACCCAAAAAGAAAGGGAGAGAGCTTGTGTTTGATAATACTTAGACCTGCGTTGGGTAACATTATTTTTAAAAGTTGACACAACCAATGCATTTATTTTAGAGAAAACAGTATAACTGAATGAAGGGATAAATATATTAACTCCCAAATTCCAGTGATATATGCAGGGTATATACAGTTTCCAAATAATTTGAATTTTGATTTAAAAAGTTAAAATAGAAAGTATATCTTTTTGGATGAAGACTGCAAATGTGCTGTGTTTTACATGTTTATACTATGTGTATGTTAATACTCGTGTGTTGCTGGGCTTTTCTCCCAATGAAAAAGGTTTATTTTTTAAAATTAAGCAACAACTAAGTCTGAAACTGAAATGGTGACAGTGAAGGTTTGGCAAAGGGTTGTGTCTGGCCTGAGAACTAAAGCTGGTTTTTAAAAACTCTGAAGAAGAAATTATTTCCAGAATAAATCTTTGTGCCTCCCCCGCCATGCCCTCCCCCAAAAGCTGCTCTTGTTGGTTGGGGGAACCATCAGAGCTGGATGTGGTGTGGAGGAGTTGTATCTTGAATGGCATCAACAGAAATTACAGAACCCCCTCACAGCTTGTGCAAGAGGAATTGTCTTCCTCTTGCACAAGGCACCTTTGGATCCCAACCCAAAGTTAACAGATTTTGCAAACTATGGTATACTCCCAATCTTGGCAGGGGGGAAAAAAGTCCCTCATTAATTTTGTTCATGTTCTTATATAATTGGAGTGGCAGACTTGAAGCCTTACCCACCCATATTAACTTGGAATTAAGTCTCATTGAATGAATTATCACTATACATAATTAATACTTTTAAATAAATTTGGATTGTGTAAAAATAGTTGTAAGATGTCAAAATGAAGTCAGCTGGATTGGTCCCAGCGGTTGTCTCCCTTCTAAACAATTCAATCATCAGTCTAATTAATGGAACTTGCTATACAACCTGCTTTTCTCTTGAAAAGCTGTTGAAGCTATAGCATAACTTTTTCTCTAGGTTTTCTTGTCCCTACAACCATTGGATGTGTATAGAAGTAAGGTGCGGGTTGCTTGTCCATTTGCATGACAGAGCAAATTTACACTATGTCCAAAGCTGAGTTTGACCATCAAAGAAGTTGGCAGTTTGATGAAATGGGTTCTACTCCCTTTAACACCACAGTAAATGAAGAATCCTTGTTTCGTACAAGAACAGGAGAGTTAATGTTCCTTTCTGGTTCCATTCCTCCAGTCCTCCTTCGAACAAATGACACATTTGTTACTGAAGCTGTGCTCATTAGTTTGTAGAGAACATAAAACTCCTGGTCTTGTGTGTCATACATGCACACAGGGGCAACCCGCATGCACAGCTTCTACTTGTTTAGTTAGAAATATGTCATTAATTAGTCATGATAATGACTTGAAACTTAGGGAAATTTACAGGCTGGGTAGAAGGTGACTCGCTGCAGAGTATACACCTAATAATATTCTGAATAAACTCCAAACAAGGAGGTGATGCTGCAGTCAGAGAGATGAGAGGGCAAACATGCTATGCAAGTCAGAAAGGAAGTACGACGCCAGAAGAAAAATAAAAGCGGGTGTTGGTTAAATCCTTTTCTGAGTAAGCTTCCCATGACCCAAAGGAAGGCAAAAGGTGCTTTGTTGTAGCAGTGCAAAAGGAGAGGGACAGTAATGCTTTAGAATACTCTTCTCCTGAGTACATTAGATGGGAGTCTACTTATCCATTTAGCGTGTGTGCTTAAAAGCAACCACAATGAATGGATATTTATATTACTGTATCCTGCCTATTTGGCACTCATGGTGGTTTGCCATTCACAAAACCATAAGCTACAATAAAATCCAGCTTCACTGAGCAGCAATCTGTCACACCTGAACCACAGTAAAAACAAACATGTCAGATTGCAGGAGAATAATAAGCATCTTCAAGATACCCCAGTCAAAGTGTTTTAAATGTGTTGCTTTAAAAGACAGATATTACACAGTCTTTAGATAACTGAAAGGAAGGAGTTCATTCCACAGCTTTGGGGGCAACAGCAGAAGAGGCCTGCTCAGATCTCTCAGCTAGTGTTGCTAGACAGAAAATGTGAATGGTTGTGTGAGTGTATATGAATATTGTTGTAGATCACCGAAATGATTGCATCTTAATTTCGTTGTACTATGTACAATGACAATAAAGTATATTACTATTACTATTACTTAAAAGTTTGTGTGGGAGGGAGTCAAATGAATAGTTGAAGCTGTCTTATTTAGAACCAGCCACCAGTCCATCTAGTCGTTATGACTGAGTTGTTGTGCTGCAAAATCACAAAGACTTTCCTTGAACTGTTCACTGAATCTTTAAGTGGCTATAATCTGTGAACTTTGTTCATGCTACTTGCAAAATATGTGTTCTACCACTGAACTGTGGACTTCCCAATACATTAAAATATTAAGAGAACCACTGTGGTGTAGTGGTTAAGAGCAGCAGACTCTAATCTGAAGAACTAGGTTTGAATCCCCACTCCTCCACATGAAGCCAGCTGGGTGACCTTGGGGCAATCACAATTCTTTCAGAACTCTCTGAGCCCCACCTACCTCACAGGGTGTCCGTTGTGGGGAAAGGAAGGGAAGGCAATTGTAAGCCTCTCTGAGACTCCTGCAGGTAGTGAAGAGTGGAATATAAAAACCAACTCTTCTTCTTCTAATATTCAATGGGGTTTGCTCCAATATGGGAATTCAAACATTAGAGAGCACAGTATTATTATGGTTTAACAATATTGATGCAATTTAGAATTGCAAAGGATTTGGTAATCTGAAAAGCACAATATGAATAATTTTGAATGGCAATACTGGTGACAGTGTCTGGTACATTCAGTAGACCTGCATGATTCTTAATAATACACTTTCCATGGCCTATTATGCACAAGTATTTTCCCTCGCTTTCACTGTGCATGTCCGTCGGGTTTTCTTTGTCATTCTGCATTGATTTTCCTCCCTTCAGCGCTCAGTTCACTTTCTGGTTGCTGTTTCCCCAGGTTTTCTGAGAATGCTTTTGTGCCATTTCCCCCCTTGTTTTGCTTCCAAACTGAAGGTAATTCAAAAGCATACAGATTCCTTTGGATTTCCCCCCCCTGCCCTTTTGCCGCTCCTTGAAGGTCACTCCCCCACCCACACTGAGATCGTTCTGCCCACTCTGCACCTTCTGCCATCCTTCCCCCTTCATCGATGTACAGGCTCCATTTTCCCCTTGTTCTAGATTTGTTTGACAAGCGGCATGAGTCTAGTGATATAAGACTATCGCTAGTCTCGGATTGCTGAATAACAAAATTAAAACTGGGGGGGGGTTAAAAGAAGCTGTGTGAAGTTTAGTTCCTTAGGATTGGAGAGGAGGCAAATGGTAGAATCCCTAGTGGGGGGGAGAGAGGGGGGGATTTCAGTGCTATATGCAGACAAAATAAGAGGGGGAATCATCAGCGTGGAATGAAATTGACATGAGATGTAAAGAGAGAGACTGGGATGGGAAGCCTAAAGCTTTGAAAACATTTTTCCCTTTTATGCTTTAGTGAACAAAGTTTTCTGGGGGAACATTTTGGCAGTCTCCAGAAGCCTAACATTAAAATGGCGGCTGAGCCACATAGACCTTTTGCAAACCACCGAACTTAAGAATCACTTGGGATTGATTCACTTAAGAACATAAGAGAAGCCAATGTTGGATCAAGCCAGTGGCCCATCCAGTCCAACACTCTGTCACACAATGGCCAAAAATACCAGGTGCCATCAGGAGGTCCACCAGTGGGGCCAGGACCATAGAGGTCCTCCCATTGCTGCCTCCCCCAAGCACCAAAAATTCAGTGCATCACTTGCCCCAGACTGAGAGTTCCTATCTATACCTTGTGGCAAATTTCAAGATCATGACCAGTGTGCAGGATCAAATTAGAGAATCACAAAGGGCAGGAAATTAGTGTTACTGTGCAGCTGTGCTATGGCATCAGCAAAAATACCCCCCCTTTCAATTTAGTGGCACAAGACTAAAAATGATCTCCAGAACTTCTGCCAGAGGACTCCTCCCCCATAGAAATTGCAGCCCTGTGCAAAACATGATGGAGCTGCAGCCAACTTTGCACAGGTGCCTGTGCACACACACACACGTTGCCAACAATCACAGCTAGCAATGCTAGTG